TGGGAGGCACCATTGGAATCCATTTTTTTTAAAATATATATGAGAGTTGAAGAAATAGTAGTTTATTTTATGAAAGTTCTATACCATGGAAAAGTTCTGTCTTCTTCTTCCTTTTTTCACCATGAGAATATTACACCTTGTACAATTTATTGAGTAGACAAATCTGTCTTATTCAGTCTGCTAATTGTTTCTAAATTAATTTTACAAATAAGATTTAACCTGACAATATCATGACAGCAAATTGGGATTATAAGCACTTTAAAATGTAAAATTCTCTTGGGCCTAACGTGGGTCTCCGATCAACATATTGTTATTCATTCTGGATATTTTACATTCTGATCACGCCCAACTATGCCTTATAAAAAGGATTAAGCGGTCGCTGCAAATATAATCCGGTTTACAAGTCCGGAGTCGAATCCCACAGAGAACTAAGGTTTAGCTACAGCTGTTCACTATCACCAAGAAGACAAGCTTGAACAATTCCTAACTTATAGATATTAAGATTCTTGTGTTTAACTACTTAACTAACAAATTAAAATAGTAAATTAACAACTAACGATACTGAGGGTTAGAGAAAAGATTAAGGAGGTCTAGAGTTATGATTTCCCCTATTGTCGGAATCCTTCCCGCTATGTCTTCTATAATTTTGCCTAAGTATTCTCTACCGATCATGAGCACTCTTATTACCGTAAATCTCTCCCGAGTAANTATAATTTCGCCTAAGTATTTGAGCACTTCCTTATTTACCCGTAAAATCTCGTCCCCGAGTAATTTACCCACAACTTTTACTACGACGCACTCTCCCGAGCTACGCTAGCTGGCTTTTAATACAGCTCACTTCAGATCGCGCCCAAGGCTTCGTTATCCCTAATCCCATCTTTAAACCCTCGGTTATTGATCCATCATATACTCTGGGAGTGGTGTTGTTCAACAATTACCTAAATATGCACTCTCTCCCGAGTTATGCATACTAAATAGGCACAGCTAATTGAGAGCTCTTCAACCAACTACAATATAAATGTAGTTGAACAAATAGAGAAAAGCTATGGCTCAATTATATAAAAACATAACAAGAATTTATCCTACAAAAGGTTCTATCAAAACTCTAGATAACAAATTAGCTATTCATAATAGTATGTAAAACTACAATACTAAAAGTCATAACCAGTTGTTGCTGATACCTTCTTCTCGGTTCCTTCTTCCATAACCAGAGCTCGGAGAAGGAAGAGATAAGAGGGCCCTATGGAGAATGTGGTCAGAAATCCATAACCAACAATGAAAAATAGGAAGAGGAAGGAAGAACTCGTAGAAGAATTCTCCGCCTTGCTCCCAATGTGTTCTTGCCTCCTTAGGTCGAATCTATGTCCAAAATATGTCCCCTCTTCTTCAAAATAGGTTTAGGACCCCTTTTATACAAGTTGGAATAGTGTAGGGCCGAAATAAACTTTTCCCGGACGAAATAGGACTTCTTTTTGACGCCTAGAGGGGCGCGGCCGCGGTCAAAACGCGGTAGGACCGCGGCCAGACAAGCTCTCTAATTTCTGCCGCGGTCAGTTCCGCGGCGCGGTTTCGACCGCGTTTTTCACCCTGTTCCGTTTGGAATTTGGAAAAACGTAAAACATGAAAGTTGTAGCCCTTTGAATTAGATTTCCAACCATATATTGTGGAGCCCAAATGGAGTTCTGAGCGAAAAGTTATGTCTATTTTACTAGACAGTGCGCAATATGCCTCCTCAAGTCTTCGTTCGTACTTAATTATCAAATTTGACCCCCGAACACGATCCCGGCTTAATTCCTTGAGCTTTTACTCAGACTTCAAAGCTTCAAATCACTTAAATTCATTCCATAACATCTATATAGCTCGGAATCACACCTACAAGGCATAAAACACACAATTAGTGCAAAACACTAGCGATTAAAGCGCAAACTCAATTAAAGTGCAGTAAATTCGAGTATAATAAGAGACTAAAATATGCAATTATAGCCTATCATCACATCCTATAGCAAAGGTTGATACCTTATTTAATATAAATAAATACTCTTTTAGGAGTTTATCGCGTTAATTGATTCACTTACCGTTTTTAAACAGATGAAGACCTTTTTTTTCGCAAATTCTGTTACTGTATTCACGAATACAGCTCGCGAATATATATGAATACAATCTATACGTTAGCTGTAATTCCCTTTTTCCGCTGACTTTTTCTATTTTATTCATGAATACATTAGCTAAAGACATCGAATACACTCTATAACAAATTAAAACATAGCTATAGGAAGTAATTTAGTAAATAATAGCTATAGCAAGCTAATAATCACTAAAACATAGTGATTTTTGAAATCTCTTTTATAATTTATATTCTTAACACCATTTATATATTTTGGACGGTGTGGAATGTGATAGAATGGCTGAAATTCTTCGACCTTTCGATAAAGATCATGGATTCAAAAGAACTTTGTAGACATTTACGCTGTTGATGGACCTATTCAGCGTGATTCCGAAATAGTTAAACCAATAGGAAGAATGTACATCTTTTGGCATAATCATCTAGTTGTGATACAAAAAAGGAAAATATAATAAAAAATTATCTAGTCGAAAAGTTGTCTTGACTCAGAGATGACACACTAGATAAATATTTAATCAATTAATAATAAGGGAAAAACGAGAATGAAATTAGATGTTCAGAAGTGCACCCATCAAATCATGCTCAAATGGTCACCACCCCCAAGAGGCTCCTTCAAACTAAATACTGATGGGGCAGCAAATGGCAACCCAGGAATTGGCGGAGCTGGAGGCATATTCAGAGATCATAGCGGGAATTGGATGTTAGGTTTCATGGAAAACCTACCACAAACATCTAACTTAGAAGCTGAATTTAGAGCCCTCATCAGAGGCCTTCAATTAGCAGAACAAAACAATTTACTTCCGCTTCAAGTAGACAATGATTCGGCAGAAGTAATCAATATGTTAATAGATGGCAACCTAATATTTGACCCTCTAATTTGTGAATGCAGATTGTTGACTCACAGGATGGGCAGCGTGGTAGTAAGACACTCTTACAGGGAGCAAAACAGAGTAGCTGATGCACTGGCAAAGGAGGCAGCCAAGAAAAATTTTTTGAACAAAAAGTTACTACTAGCAGTTCCTCCGGTGTTTGCCAATGATGTATTTTGGGCAGACACCCTAGGAACTGAACTTCCTAGGATCTTTTTGGGTTGTAATATAGATACAATTATGCAAAACTTTGCATCCATGAGTACTTTAAAGTACCCCAGTAACTATTAAGGCAGTGTAACTCCCTCTTCTAACTAGTTAATTTATCATCCTTTTGACCAAAAAAAAAAGAGAGAATGAAATTAAGTTTTGTCTTGTATATTATGGCATCTTCATATATATATATATATATAATCTAGTTAATTTGAAATACTTTATAATCAATTAATAATAGCCAAATGATATTTACTTCGAACTCCTGTAGGAGTGATTCATCAAAGCATAGAGTATGATTGGAAGCCTAAATTTTGTATGGACTGTGCAAAAGTTGGGCATACCACAGAAGACTGCAGACATAACAAAGAAATAGGAACAAATGGAGCATTTGTAGAACAGAACAAAAGAAGGAGAAGGGGCAAAAGAAGAAGGAAAGTGGAAACTAAATGGGTAGCTAAAGAGGTGACTGCTCCAACAGCTGAAAAAGATGATGCTACAAAGGAGACTGAAACTAAAGAAAATGCAGTAGTCTCACAAATGGAACATAGGCAGCTGGACAGGAATGAATTTCCAGCACTCTCAGAAGTAATAAGGAATGAGAGAAGATATGAAAAGGGAGTGGTTGTGTCTACTGTGGAAGAACCAAGTTGTTCTACTAGCCAAATTAATACCACAAATAGATTTGAGATTCTGAATCAAGGTGGTATTGCAGCTGATACTGGGCAGGGTGGACAAATCCACCCTACACCTTCATGATAATTAGTATTTGGAACATTAGAGGGCTGAACAAGCCCTTTAAACAGAAGGAGTTGGTGCTCTTTCTGAAGAAGAACAAGGTAGAGGTAATGGGGCTAGTTGAGACAAGGGTGAAAGAGAATAAGGCAAAAAGAATAGCCCGGAAGACTGCAAAGGACTGGGAAGTACAGTATAACTATAATTGTGCATATAATGGGAGAATTTGGTTAATATGGAAGCCTCATATCCATATTCAGATTCTTATGGTTGATGCACAGTTTGTCCATTGTGAAGTGGAAGAACAAATCAGTCAGAAGAAATGGTTTTCACTGTTGTATATGCTTATAATAACTTGAACTCAAGGCAGCAGTTATGGGAGAAGCTTATTGGTGTAAGTTCTAATATTACAAGTGACTGGCTAATTAGTGGTGATTTTAATAATATCTTACAATCAGATGATAGAATAGGACCTCCTATAACACTGGCAGAGGTACAAGGATTTAAGGAGTTCTTAGACAAAATGCAACTCACTCCCTTGTAAAGCACAGGATGGTATTATACATGGTGTAATAAAAGGGATGAAAATGTGAGGGTGTACAGCAAGATAGATTGGGCTTTTGGGGATTTCAGTTGGATGATGAACAATGGGCATATAGAGGCAGAATATTTGAACCTTGGGGTATCTGATCATTCTCCTATATTGATGAACTGCCAAACTGGTATAATTCAACAACATTTGCATCCTAGACCTTTTAGACTGTATCACACTGTACTTCACCATCCTGAATTTACAAGGATAGTGAAAGAAGTATGGGTGCAGAATGATAGAGATTTTGGGAAGGCAAGGATATGGTATAAACTCAGGAAACTGAAGGAGGCATTGAAAGGCTTGAACAACTATATGGCATCTTATCAGCAAAAACTAAGTCAAGCAAAGCAGAAGTTAGAACTGGTTCAGCCTCAACTGTCTCTACAACCTTTAAGGCAGGAGTGCATAGAAGAAGAAAATGTAGCCTTGTTAGAAGTGGAGAAAATGGAGTAACATTGAGGAGCAGGTGATGAGGCAGAAGTCTAGAGCTACTTGGATTCAACATGGAGATGCAAATACCAAGTACTTCCATGCTCAATGGAAGATGCGTACTAACAATAATGCTATTGTCTCTATTCATAATGATGCAGGTACCAAATTAACAGATCCTAAACAGGTGGAGGAGCAATTTTTGGATTTCTTTAAGAAACTAATGGGTGAGGCATCACCAGTGCACCCTTGCCCAGATGCTGAGGTGATTAAAAAGGGACCTTGTCTAACAAGGCAACAACAACTGGAGCTGATCAAGTCAGTCACTGAGGAAGAGATAATGGGAGCTATTAAAAGCATGCAAACTGACAAGGCTCCAGGGGTAGATGGTTTCTAGTAGAATTCTACACAAAGCAATGGGAGGTGATCAAAGCAGATGTGATTGCTGATGTCTTGGATTTCTTTAAGACAGGGAAGCTGCCAAAGGCCATTAATAGCACTGCTACTACTCTCATCCCTAAAGTTCCTAATCCTACACAGGTTAAGGACTTTAGGCCAATAGCATGCTGCACAACTATTTACAAGATTATCACAAAGATCATCACTGGGATTTTAAAAGCAGCAATGAACAATCTAGTAGGTGACTCTCAATCAGCTTTCATTGAAGGCAGGAATATAACTGATAACATCCTATTCACCCATGAACTGTTCAAAGGCTACACTAGGAAAAGTATATCTACAAGATGCATTCTCAAGGTTGATCTTAGGAAAGCCTATGATACATTGGATTGGTTCTACTTGAAGAGGATAATGATTGGATTGGGGTTTCCACACAGATTTGTATGTTGGATAATGGAGTGCATAACAACTGTATCCTACTCTTTGACCTTAAATTGAGGACTCACAAAACCATTTGAAGGCAAGAGGGGGATAAGACAGGGAGACCCTGTGTCACCCTACTTATTTGCGATAGCTATGGAGTACTTGCAAAGGGAATTTAGTCAACTGACTTTAAACAAAGAGTTCCACTTTCATCCAAGGTGCAAAAGACTAGGAGTGATGCATGTGTGTTTTGCTGATGATCTATTGATATTCTGCAGAGCTGATTTGTAGTCAATTAAGCTAATGCAGGATGCATTTCTGAAATTTTCAAGAGCCTTTGGACTACAGGCAAATCCTGACAAAAGCTCAGTATACATTGCAAGTACAACTGAGAGGATGAAAGAACTTATCTTGCAGGAGTTAGGTTATAATGAAGGCAACTTACCCTTTAAATACCTAGGGGTTCCATTAGCTCCTAAAAAGCTATCTAATCAACAGTGTTGGCCATTAGTTGAAAAGATTACTGCAAGGATCAGTTGTTGGACCTCAAAACTATTTTCATATGCTGGAAGATTGCAGCTCATCAAGTCAGTGATTTTTGGGATGCAGTCTTATTGGGCTCAAGTATTTTTACTACTAAAGAAGATCAGCAAAATGATCGAGGCAATATGCAAAACCTTCCTATGGACAGTGCGGGCTGATATATCCAGAAGAGCTTTGGTAGCATGGGACATGGTCTGTTTACCACAAACAATGGGAGGGTTGAATGTGATTAACCTGTGCAACTGGAACAAAGCTGCAATAATAAAGCATTTGTGGGCAATTACAAAGAAGAAAGACTGCTTGTGGATTCGATGGGTCCATTCCTACTACATAAAGAACATGAGCATTGACACCATACCTATACCTAAGAGTGCAGCTTGGGTAATAAGGAAGATTATTGAGCAAAGGAAGTTTATATTGAATCTACCAACTCTACAAGGCAATGTGCAAGAAAGACTGGAGTCCTTACAGAGCACAAATGGTAAAACAGTATCAAGAAGCTATATAACTTGCAAACTCCTCAGGGTCAGAAGGTATACTGGAAAAGTCTGATTTTACATCCTCATATACATCCTAGACACAAATTCAATATGTGGCTGGCCATTCAAAGGAGACTACCAACAGTGGATCGACTGCAGAAAATAGGCATTCAAGTAGCTCAAGTGTGTGTATTTTGTGGTCAGGAAGAAGAGATATTTGAACATCTATTCTTTGAATGCTCCTACACAAGTGATGTCTGGAAGAGATTGCTAAACTGGATGGGAATCCAAAAACAGATTCAAACTTGGGAGGAGGAACTGCAATGGGTGACTTATCATGCTAGGAAGAAGAAAGGAATTGGCAACATTATTGTAGCAGTGTTTGGCATGCTGCTGCACAGCTTATGGAGGGACAGGAATTCGATCAGATTTCAAAATGGAAGCACCTCAGCAGAGCAGATATGGCGAGAGATTACTTCATATGTTCATATCAAAAGCCATATACACAGCAATTGGCAGGAACATATGGAAGCTCTAAACAAATATCCATAGTTAGGCTACTAGAGTAATCCTGTATTCATGTTTTATTTCAGTATCATATTAGTGAGCACATGTATAGGATATGAACACATATAGCTGACTAGTATAGTTATATAGGGAGACATCTCTGAAATGTTGGAGTCAAGTATAGTCTAAGAAGAGAAAAGGAATTGGTCAGCAGGTCCTACTATGTACAGAACAATTTTGATAAATGAAAATGTTAGTTTATCGGAAAAAAAAAGAAATACTCAAAACGTAAAAACATAAATTGGCAAAATTTAAGAAAAATTTCCAAAAGCGTAGCAGCAATGTCTATTTTACAGTCGTAGCAACTAAATAATTATATTTCTAGCAGACACCTTTAAACCGTGTACCTATAATCACGCACCTAATGCATTTATTTCCTTAATAAAAATGTTCCTAGTACTTTCTAATATCTTTTCCTATATTTTCTTTTGAAACCAATCCTTAACATATTTAAATGGTAATATCTTTTCCTATTTTCGTTAAAAATTAATTCATTCCATAATAGATTTTATACTTTCCATATATGGATCTTCTTACTAGAAAAAGGAGTACTAGTGCCTTTTTATACAACATGAACTCTAGCTAAAGTATACATCTTTATATTTTGAAAAATAAACTACATATGTCTCATGGCAAATGTAACGTATATTTGAGGTATATATACATTATAAACAATGTGATTTTGTATCATTATTTGTCACGATCTGGATTTTCCACCCCCGGGAGTCGTGATGACGCCTACTAATGTGAGCTAGGCAAGCCAATTCTTTAAAACTAATTACTTCATTATCCATTTATTCTTTTTTATCAAATGCAAAGCGATAACGTATAAACATCGGAAAGTTAAATTAAGCGGAAGAAAATAATGAAATGAAATATCGGGAATCTATGTCTATTACAATTACTCAAGCCTTAACCATCCAAAACCTGGTGTCACAGTGTCACAGACAGTCTAAGATTCACTACACACAAAGTCTGAAGAAATAACAGTACACCGTTTCTGAAATAAGGAAAATGAAACAGGGAATAGAAGATGAGGAGACGCCAGGGCCTGCGGACGCCTACAGGTCTACCTTGGATCTCCGCGTGGACTAAAGGTAGCCAACTGATCTACTGTCCGAAGTCAACAGCACTGGGATCTGCACAAAAGAGTGCAGAGTGTAGTATCAGCACAACCGACCCCATGTGCTGGTAAGTGTCTAGCCTAACCTCGGCGAAGTAGTGACGAGGCTAGACCAGACTACCACATAAACCTGTGCAGTTCAAATATATACAGCGGAAAAGAAATACAGAAGTAAACAAGTAAGGATGAGAGGGCGAAACATGCTTCGGGGAATAACAGGTAAAAACAGAATATCAAGAGAATTATAAAGGGATCAAAATCCAACCACTAACAAGAATAAGGAAACAAAAGCAGATTTCACTTTCTTTTCACATCTTGTTGCAGGCGTGCAATCCGATCCCATTTCTCATATCTTGTGGCAGGCGTGCCACCCGCTCCCATTTCATGTATCTCGTGGCAGGCGTGCCACCCGCTCCCATTTTATGTATCTTGTGCCAGGCGTGCCACCCGCTCCCATTTTAGTATATCTCGTGGTAGGCGTACCACCCGCTCCCATTTCATATATCTCGTGGCAGGCGTGCCACCCGCTCCCATTTTATTATATCTTGTGGTAAGCGTACCACTCGCTCCCATTTCATTATATCTTGTGGTAGGCGTACCACCCACTCCCATTTTATTACCAAGAATAATCACATTGAATCCCGGCAAGGGAACAATAATATCAAACAAACATCCCGACAAGGGAACAATGATATCTCAACAATATCCCGGCAAGGAAACAATAATATCAAACAAACATCCCGGCAAGGGAACAATGATATCAAACAAACATTCCGGCAAGGGAACAATGATGATAATAACATGTGAGGCATAATAAACCACAACGGAGTCATAACAATGTATAACACAAGACTCACGGGCATGCTTGACACCGACGTATAGATACTCGTCACCATGCCTATACGTCGTACCCCACAATTAACACGTAGCAAATAGACACAACTCCTGATCCCTCAAGCTAAGGTTAGACCAAACACTTACCTCGATGCCACGAACACAATTCACGATTCAATTATAGCTTTACCCCTTGATTCCACCACCAATTCGCTCGTATCTAGTCACAAGTTACTTAATTACATCAACAAAAGCTAAATGAATCAACCCCAATGCATGAAAATGATTTTTCCAAAGTTTTACCCAAAAAGTCAAAAATCGCCCCCGGGCCCACATGGTCAAAACCCGAGGTCCGAACCAAAACCCGATCACCCATTCCCCCACGAACTCAAATATATAATTTATTTTGAAATCGGACCTCAAATCGAGGTCCAAATCCCCAATTTTTGAAAAACCTAGGTTCTAACCAAAACACCCAATTTCCCCCATGAAAATCATTGATTTGAAGTTGAAATCATGTTAGAAGATGTTAAGAATTGAAGGAAGTTAGTTAAAATCGACTTACAATTGATTTGGAGAAGAAGAAATCCTTAAAAAATCGCCTAAGTGTGTTTATGTTTTGAGAGAATATGAAAATGGGTTAAAAATTCGGCTAAGCATAAAAGTTGCAGGTCTCAGATGTGGGAATTGCGAATAGGGGTTTGGGAATTGCGAACATGGGTTTGGGAATTGCGAGGCCTGGGAATTGCGAACATGGGTTTGGGAATTGCGAAGCTTGGGAATTGCGAACATGGGTTTGGGAATTGCGAAGCCTGGGAATTGCGAACATGGGTTTGGGAATTGCGAACATGCATTTGGGAATTGCGAAGCCTGGGAATTGCGAAGGGAGGTTGGGAAATGCGAAGCCTGCAGGCTTGCAATTCCTTAAGCCCAAAATTTTACCCCGTGGCCTATCCAAAACTCACCCGAGCCCTCGGGGCTCCAAACCAAATATACACACAACCTCAAAAATATCCTACGGACTTATTCGTGTACTCAAATCACCAAAATAACATCATGAACATCGAATTAAACCTCAAGATCAATGAAATTTCCCAAAACTTCTTTAAACATCAAATTTGCATTTAAGGTCCGAATCACGTCAAACGGACTCCGTTTCTTACCAAACTTCACAAAATTATCTTAAATCATATATAAGACCTGTACCGGGCGCCGGAACCAGAATACGGGCCCGATACCAACATGTTCTAATCAAAATTCATTTCCAAATCCTTTAAACAATATCAGAAAATAATTTTCTTTAAAAATTCATTTCTCGGGCTTGGGACCTCGGAATTCGATTCCGGGCATACGCCCAAGTCCCATATTTTGCTACGGACCCTCCGGGACCGTCAAATCACGGGTCCAGGTCCGTTTACCCAAAACGTTGACCGAAGTCAAAGTAATTTATTTCATAGTCAAAATTTACCTTTTTTCACAGATTTTCACATATAGGCTTTCCGGCTACACGCCCGGACTGCGCACGCAAATCAAGGTGATTCTAAGAGAGGTTTTTAAGGCCTCGGAACGTAGAATTTTATTTTAAAACAAGTGATGACCTTTTGGGTCATCACATTATTATACGAGGAAGTACTTTCTTATTAAAAAGATCAAAGGTATATTATTATATTAGTATTTCTCGAAATATCATTATACTAGTTATATATAATGTTATATACTTATATTAATATAATGTGTATATTAACCCGAGGTTATTGTGAATATGTAGTTAGTACCAAGGCTATTTTTTTATTCAGCTATAAAAACATATGTGTAATCACAATTATATTGATTATATAATATTCACTTATATTATATGTATATAACGGATTAATACAAATTAATCAAAAACTCTATATGATCCCTATGTGTTTTAGAAATGATTCTATTAACTTGGGCTGAATGCCATATTTGGGGCCTTGTGCCGTACTATTACCCTCAGGGGTATTCTACTACTATCCTCACACTGTTTTGATTCGGAGTGAGGTCTCGGACCAAATCAAGTCCAATCACCATGGTAAAACTATTTAACCGGCATATATATGTTAGTCAACATTAGTGCTTTTGGGTTNCTTTTGGGTCATCACATTATTATACGAGGAAGTACTTTCTTATTAAAAAGATCAAAGGTATATTATTATATTAGTATTTCTCGAAATATCATTATACTAGTTATATATAATGTTATACCTTAATACCATTATAGTACATAGTATTTCTCTAAAATATATATATATATATATATATATATATATATATATATATATATATAGTATAACTCAATAAAATTATACCATGTATATTAATACATTAGTATGCAAAGAAAACTGCTATATACACCTTATATTCAGTGAATTATTTTCTTCTTCTATTCCTTATCGATTTTAGAGGTTGTAGTGATGGAATCAATAATATTAATGAGTTTCACCTTATTCGTTGCCATGAAATTTGTAGTTTACTATAAGAAGGGAAGAGAAAATAATTTTGGGTAAGATTTTCTCTTACCCGATGAGAGAAAGAAGGAAAAGAGTGAGATTTTTGGTTCGTAATGCTGGAGAGATTAGTGGAGAAATAATTACTATAATTTTAGAAATTTGGTGAAATATGAAAGACTTTTAATTTCTAGTACATATCCCTCGAATCATGGATTAGTTTTCAAAAATAAAGACTGATGGTATTGTATCAATTTTGAGACATGCTATATATCTAAATGAATGTGCTATATATGAAATAAAACAAAAGTAATATTGTTTATATAAATATTTGCTTACTAGTAGCCCTACAAGTCTACAAGGTAAAAATCTCTAGTTCATTTTTGGTAGAAATGACACCAGGTAGCACTCTAAAGGGCTGCTATTTAGAAATTAGGCAGTGTATCCGGAATTTCAATTTTTCTATCAATTTTCCAGGATAAAAATATTTTAAATTGTCCTGAAGTTAAGATTTTTAGTTTAAAATTTAAGTACAAAATAAATATTCAAGACCAACAAGATTGTAAGACGTTTCTGACAATAGATTTTCTCTGCTATATATCAAAAGATCTATATCTCTAATTAATATTTTTTATAATTAGTTGAATCCACTCTTTTTGTGTGAAGAAATTCCCAAAGAACACTATGTCAGAAATAATATTAGTTTCTGAAATAAAAAATAATGTTATTAGTAAATATTAAATCTCACTGGCTATTTGTGTAACAATCCTTTTAGCATAACTTTTGGGCCTTGGTGCAATAATAAGCTGTCAAGAAAGGGAATATTCGAAGGGTAACAGTGTATTGGTCAGACTGGATTCGAATGGAATCGGCCCGATCCCGAATGCACATTTTTTTTTAAATTTCTTTTCAATTGATGTTTTCTTAACCTTTTAAAGGAGCAAATTATGTTATATACCTATTCTGCCCAAAATAATTACCCGCCTTTACCTATTCTAGAAATAATTGCAATATATACCTATGCAACCAAAAGTAATTTCCCGTTAATCCTTCTTCCTGATTTGTTCTTGTTAAAGCTAACTTTTCTCCTCCTTTTTGCTTTCTTCTCTTATCATTTTCTCCGCTCTTTCTCTTTCTTTCATTTTGCCAGTTACCTTACAATTTTTCATTAGGTATATGATCTATCTACCTCTCTCTCCTATCTTTATCATTTGTCCCAGCAAAAAAAAGATAAAAAAAAAGATCTATCAAAAAAGGATAAAAATTTCTAAGATTTCAGTTTGCTATAAATTTGTGAGGTTATGTACGTAATAACAAATTTTAATTGCCGACGCTCGTTGTGGCAAGTTTTGGTGTTAATGATGACTTTTTGATGATTTAATTGACAAACATTAATCTGCCATTGGAGGACCTTGAAGCTTGAAAATCATAAATTGGGTTTGTTGAGTTTGTGGTTATTTTGATCCAATTATGACTGGGTATGTTCGAAATGTTAGTGGGAGAAAGTGGCTATGTTCTGAGTCAATTTGGTGGAGATTTTAGAGTATTTAGATTTTGGGTTGAAATTGAGTTGAACTAGCAAAGAAGACAGATTTGTACTGTATACCAAAATAGTATATTGTATACTCTATCGGTATACAATAATTAATTCAAGAGTATATAATTAACTACAATAGATACTACTAATTTTTTTGAAGGAATGAACCAATCCTCTATATACCAAAATAACATGTTATATACCATTTTGGTTAATTCAATAGTGTATAATTTATTGCGACGAACTGACGATGAAGAATTGTACTGTATACCAAAATGGTATACTATATACCATTTTGGTATACAGTTCATTCAAATGATATACCATTACAGTATGCTATATAATGTAACGGTATACTCTTATAATAAGATCATTTTCGCTTTTTTTGAAATTTTTATTGAAACAACTGATATTATTTCAGTTTAATAATTGAATTAAAAAATCTTTTATAAACTCTTTGCGTACAATTATATATCCAGTTAATATAACTATATACTATACTGATATCATATGTTAATTGGAATATTTTGTTGTTGTATTAGCTAAATTTAATTGGTGCACTGTTTGAGTTTTCTTTAGTAATAGTAGAATAGACAGTATCTTGAATTTTTTTAATTTTCCTTTATGCATGTGTATTATGTAATCATTTTGATGTTTTCTTTATGCGTTTGTTTTTTATAATAGTATTATAGTAAAATATCTTGAAATACATTATTATATTAATATATGGAACACTATTTTTGATTTTTCTCTTTATGCATGTGTGTTATGTAATAGTAGTATAGTTATATAGTTGCCAGGAATTAACCAGTAAAACTGTATACCATGTTAGTATTAGTTATATACCATGTTTTAGCTGCATTTTTAAGTGAATTCTACTATGAAATTTATAAACATGATGCAGTGTTGTAATTTTTGACATATATTATGTGTATTATGTAATAGTTTTTATAGTTATAGGCAATTGTTCGAACGACCCCATACAACTATATACCCTCTTAGTATACGGAATGAGCAAGTTGCCTTGCGAATATTTAGCTTGCATTGCGAGCATGTAATTTTCTCATACTTTTATTACATCCTTCAATGTTTTGGCACAGTAGTATAGTCGCAGATGGTTGTAGCAATATTCTAGAGCAATCATATACTCTGTTGGTATACATGTATACCATATTAGTATCATATGGTACTATAAGTCTTTTTTGCTACTTATATTTTTATTACAGTTTCCAATATTTTATTATCATTTCTATTCTAACTAGTATATATGGAGATTTGGTGGCCGTAGATTATATTTTCTTGCTCCATAACTGGTAGTGTTATTGCTAATGGTAGAGTGTGTACTGATATTTGTAGGGAAGGAGATCAAGATGTGCATGGAAATCACGTGGAATTAGAAAAGGAACAAGAAATAAAGAAAAAAAAAAGAAAAAAAAGGAGTCAGATTTAAGTGTGAAATAAGTTATGGTAAAAATAACAATAATACGATCTGCGCAAAAATAAATAAATAAAAAAAAAGAAAACGAGAACAAAGAAAAGGAGAAAAGAAGCATAAAAATAAAAAAGAATTGGAAAAAAGAGAAAATTCTCCACAAAAACTACTACGGATAGGTAATGTAATTAGTTTAATGGGTAAAAAAATAAATGGATAAATAGTTTTGTTTTGTGGGTAACTGTGTCATTCACCTTTAAAGACGGAAAGAAAATTGATCACTTGGGATCTTAAACAAAATATTGATGTTGCACTATCATTGGTCTTAATTCCTTCTTTTTAACTTCGAATTCCTCGCATAGTACTCTTTTATCACATTGTATCTTTTATTGATGTTTTTCCAGTGTAGTTCCTGAGACTAATGTCTTTGTCTTAGGTTTCTTCCTCTTGCGCCTCTTTGTCGTTTGGTCCACAAAGAATTTGTCATAGAGTATAAAATTTGTCATTTTGTTTTTTCTCGTCCCCGCTACAATCCATCCAGTCCTCTATAAACTTACTTGAAATTTGAATATTTCTCTCAGTAAAAATCGTTCCATCCTACTCCATTGCCACCCTTACGTACAAACCACCACTATATATAGAAAGATAAATATGCGTAATTTTATAATCATACTTTTGTTGGAAAAAAGAAAAAAAAATCTCCCTCCGTCCCAATTAGAGTAACTTTGTTGAGCATAAGGTGCATGACTTGTCTTACATTAAGACGGGGGCCCGGTTTTAGTTGGACTAGCAACTAATGAGCCCATTAATAGGGCCCACTAATGTAAATGTGGTTATAATTAGCTTTTATATGGAAGTTGAGAATGTTATACTTTAGTTGGACTACGTGGCTCACTTCTCCAATCTTGATCCCCTTAGTGGTCATCAACTTTGTCTATCTTCCTTTTATTTTCTTTTTTCCCCGACATTCTTCTTCCAATCAGTTTCATCTTTTCCTAGTTAGTGGACCAATGACCTTACAAAGATTTTGAACGTCTTTAATCACTGAGCTATACTTTTGGTCTATGTCAGGGAATTCAAAATATAATATATAAAGGTAAAAAATTGATTTTGTATTTTATGTACAGTGTAATTTTTCGACAAGGGTGGGTCGGGTGAACACCCTTCCGCCCCTAAATCCGCCCCTGCTCCTAGTTAGTTACTGCAAGAAGAATAAAGTATGGCAGAGAAAACCTGACTGGACAACAGTAACTAAGATACAGCTGAGACTTGGATTGGTAATGATTTAGTTTCAATGTCATTTTATTGACTATTGATTCAGAGGAACATTATACTTATGATTTAGAAGAAGAAAACATGTGTATCATTGTGTGGAAAAAAGATAATTTAATGGTCCAACAATTTGACATATTATTGTGTAAAAATCGTGCACGACGAAGCACAATGTAGAATTAGAAATAGAATTTATTTGACAGTATCACATCTTCACTACTTCGACCAGGTTTCTGAAGTATACGTAATACTAAATCAAAATTCTTGCCAAGACTTCCACTTGATCGGACAAGAGATATTATGTCATAGATAATCTATAAAATAATTACTATTTGGGGAGTTAGAAGGTTTTCTTTGACCACCACTTTTGCAAATACTATTTAAATAGTGTAAATTGTTAATTTAATATGACTTATAATGTTTTTTACATAGTAATAAATATATAAATTAAAATTTTAAAAAATATATATATTTAAATTGGCACTGCAAATTAGTCAACTTAACCCTTTTACTACCGGAATTGTGTCACATACGGTTGAACGAATGGAGTGCTTAAGTACCTGTAAAATGGTCCATAGTCTAACAACATTAAATGAAGAAACACGCGCATGTATCAATCATCACTTGACAAAATAAGTGTTAAACACTTATTTTTAAAGACTAACAGCTATAAACATAAGAAATAGTAGATCATTCGAAAAGGATAAACTCTTGCAATCTTAGGATATCTTTTGAGCATGATTTTTTGCCTAAAGATTCGTTCTTTATGTCTACTAAATGCTAATGAAGAAGAAAGAGAGGAGAGGTTGCATATTAGGTTGGCAAGAATGATGTTGATCACACCATAGCTACCAAATAGCCTATGGACCACATATATATGACATAACTAACCCTTTTCTTTTAGTCCTCAAATTTGGACTCTTTCTACCAAAACTTTTGGCTTTTTGTTTTATTGCCACTTTGCTTAAATATCTCATTGGATGGAAAATTCTTACCTATATTTTGTCTGGCAGAGTAGCTGCCGCTTTGCATGTGTCTGTGTCTCATTCTTGGTCCTTTGCTGAGTGTAACTTAGTACGTGTCACACTCACCAATAAATCGCATGATTAAAAGCCAAATCTAAATATTTAAGTACCATTTTTTAAATATTTCTCAAGTATACAGTAGCTATCATTAGTGGAATCAAATTTTATCCTAGATAGTTAGAGCATCAACTTGACTGTATAGTTGACGAGAAAAATCAGAGCATAACTGCTGTGAATGAAGTACACAGACAGATGGATAGATATGGAGAGAGATAGAATGACATAAAGCAGACAAAATTTTCAATTGTGAAAAGAACAGAAATGGGTGATTAAGAATTTACCTTTGTCCGCGTGGGAGAGAGAGAGAGGGGGTGGTAAAGATGAGTCTAAAGTAAGAGACATGGGGAGGTGGACAATATCAAACAGTTTGAATTATTTGTTGAAAAAAGAGGATCTTTGAGTAAGACAAGCACCAATAATTTTGAAACAAGAGTGAGAAAAAGATGGAGAGAGAGGAAAAGGTAGAAAAAGAGACAAGGAATAAGAAAAAGCAAGAAGAAGAATTGTTGGTAGTAAAGTTGAAACAAGGTGTTTTAGTGGGGAAAAGAGGGGGTAATTGTACTACTCCTTCACCTACATGGAAAATTGGGTTGGCTCAAGCTGATGGTTCTCTACTTCAAGATTTGCCTTTTTCTTCCAATTCTGCTTCACTATCTGTTAGAAAACTTGGTGCCAATCTCTGGGAATTTCAACCCCAAGTTAATAAGATGAGCAAGATTGGCCCTCTTCATCAAAATCACAAAGACAAACGTTCTAAGCTGCCCAGCCAACCATCTGACCCACCTGATAGCCCACCACAGCAGGTCAAGTACTAGGAACTTTTTTTATTTTTTACTCCAAACTGCATATTTTAATTACTAATTAGAGGCGTATTTAAGACGAGTTCTGTGGTTCAACTAAACCTACTGCTTTTAGTTCGAACTATGTTCAAAGGTTAAGCATGTCCTTGGTGCCTCAAGTTCATATCATTCTACCTAATACATAGGTAGAAAGACAGTCTGGTATTCTTAAGGCATATTTAGGAATGAGTTAGCGGAGCCTCGGAGCGAACGGTTAAGTTGTCTCCGCGGTCACAAGTGCTTGAATTAAGCCTACATCACACCCCTGTGGTGCGGCACTTTCCCGAACCCTGTGTGATCGCGGGCTGCTTTGTGCATCGGGCTGCTTTTTTTATGTCTTTACTAGAATAGTTTGTTGCCACATAGAATTGCTTTGCATAAGTCTTGTTTCTCCAACTCAATTTTTTGTGTTGATCTCGAGAATGCTTAGTTCCTAAGGGAACTTTCTACACAAGTGAAAATGAAATTCATCCGACAAAAGTTTCCTAATCCGATAGCTTGATTGAAGAGTCAAGAGGATGTCTATTTGGTTCTTCTCTGCTAAACTATAAAGTGCTTTAAAAACTTTTCTCTAACTTACTTCCGGAGGCTATAACCTGATTATTCATGGTTCTTTTACTTTTATGGCAGCCAACAAGCACCAGTAGTTTAGGGAGGGACATTGCAGCGTCACTTAGACAGCATCATCATCATTTACTTAGGAAGAATGGAGGCGCTCAATCACTTGAATCTCCAGCAAGTTACTGTAGCTCGATGGAGGTAACTTTTCCTTGCATTTCCCCTGCTAGAATCTTTAACCTGAGAGCGTAACTCTAAAATGAATCAGCTCTTTATATCAATTCGAAAGACCACTGCAAAGAATAAATCAGTATAGTTCGCTGCAACTATGTATGCTTGTTTCCTGGTTCAATTGTCCTATTTTAACCCTTCACCCTTTCTCACTTCCACAGGTTAATGTTAAAATCAGTAAGATTCATGGATATACAAATGTTTAAGCAAATTGAACTATGATGCCTTCTTTAAAACATGATGGCTTCCATATGACTTCTGCAAAATATTTGGCTTTTGATTTCAGAAGTGACTAAATATCAGTGTTCATTTTAGAAGATTGATGTGCTTCTGTAAACTGAATTCGACAAATTTTCTGGTGAATATAGTCTGGATATTGTATGTGTAATTTCCGAAATCCAGGTAGTGTTCCCTGGATGTTGCTTGATTCTGTCTATTATGAACCTACTTTTACTAAATGAGTAGTTCCCCGTACGGAAATGAGAAGATTACTGCAAGCATGTGTTACCTTGTTCGCATACTGGAATTCGTCTTGCACGTGCTTTATTCAATTATTTAGCAAATTTCATGGTAACCACTTCCAGTGGTATAATAGTGTTTACATTCCTTCCCCGACAGATGGCTCCTTATAAACCTGTAGAGACTCCGACCAGCTCAAAGGACCTTAAAGGTAGAAGTGGAAAGTCAAGCTACTGCCTTAAAACATCAACAGAGTTACTTAAGATACTTAACAGGATTTGGAGTCTTGAAGAAAAACATGTATCAAACATGTCGTTGGTGAAAGCATTGAGAAAAGAACTCGACCACTCTCAAAGACGTGTTAAGGAACTACAAGAAGAAAAGAAAAGAGACAGAGAAGAAATAGATGACTTGATGATGCTAGTTGCTGAGTACAGAATTGGAAGAAAGAACAACAAGCATAACAGAACCGAAGATGCAGTCAAGACACTGACTGTTGAGTTACACGATGAAAGAAAGTTGAGGAAACACTCAGAAAATCTTCACCGTAAGCTTGCTCGAGAGCTTGCTGAAGTGAAATCTTCATTCTCTAATGCTTTAAAAGAACTTGAAAGAGAACGGGAGGCACGGATTATGCTAGAAGAATTATGTGATGAGTTTGCCACTGGAACTAAGGAGTATGAACAAGAAGTGCGGTTCTTGAAAAGCAAACTGAAAAAGGACCACACATTGACCGAAGAGAAGGATGGATTGATCATCCATATTTGTGAAGCCTGGTTAGATGAGAGGATGCAAATGAAGCAAGCCCAAAGTCGTCATGGTCTTGCAGAAAAGAAAACAACTGTGGACAAGTTGAGGTCCGAAATACAAACCTTTCTTAAAGCTAGACATTCTAGTGATTATACGAATAATGTCCTAAACTTAAAAGGAGCAAAAGAAAGCTGCTTACGCAGGCATTCTTTGGAATCCTTTCACTTGAACTATATTGCAAGTGCACCCAGAATAGAGAATGAAGATGGCAATTCATTTGCTAACACTATCCATGCTTCTGAATCAAATAGAGGCTGGCATGGAAAGCATGATGACAGCAGCTGCATCAACCAACATGAGAAAAACATAACTGAATCCAATCCACCACAGAAAAAGATTGAAACTCCAGTTTCAAAAGACCCTGATGTGACTAGCTCAAGAATCCAACCTGAAGAGAAACTCTTTGAGTCAACGGTGGTTAAAGAGATGCCTGTTGAAGGTAATGATTCATGTGTGCTTGAGAAAAGTGTCACAAAACAAAGAAAATCCCAGAAAACAAAGAATAACCGGATGAAAACTGGAAGTTCATTGCTGAACAACTTGCTTAGGGATCATTCATTGCCTTCAGAAGCTAAGACACTTGAAAATAACGATAAGCATATGGAACATTCTTTTGATCCAACGACGTTTACTGGCCCTACAAGTCCAGTGCAGAAGTGGACATCAAAATTAACAGCTCCGGATCTTGAGGTGGTTGAATCTTCTTCAAAATTACCGCTAGGTGTAAAAGAGAATACACTGAAGGCAAAGCTGCTAGAAGCCAGGCTGGAAAGACAGCAGTTGCGGCCAAGAGCTACAAAAGCTTTGTCTGAGGTTTCTTGAACAGTAAAAGGGCCAGGTATGAACCATAAGATGGAATATGTCAAAAAGTGTTAATATCTTGTGAGGTGTTAGTTGCTAATGCTGGTTTTGTAAGTCGAAAGTTTTGGTTCAGATGGTGCTTCAATTTCTTTGTAGTCGGCGAATACCAATCTGTAAATGAGAAATATATGCTGTTGTAAACATGGTTTAGTTATCAACTTTTTTTGTAGTTTCTCAACTGTATCTGTATATGAGAGATGTGTACTGGTTATTCACACAGTTTCTCATTTCAAGTGGAAATTTAGGCATCTAATCTGTGTTGTGAGCTTGATAGATCACTTGCCAGATTTTTGAGGAATGTTAAGTCAGATAAACAACTAAAAATTTCTCAGGCTCAGTATAATTTTAGTCAAACTTAAGCCTTAAACAATGTAAATATTAGAAAGTTGCAATTAAATACTTATAGTAATAGTTTTTTAGTCATGACAAAGGTTAAACTTACTCTTTGCTGCTATTAAACCACATTCGTCCAATGGAGGACATAATCCTCGAGTGTAGTTGTTCCTTTTAGCTCGGTCTATAAATGTGTATACATGAATTGGAAAAAAAAAACATCTAATATATTGAAGACGACAACAGAACAACTAAGCCTCGATCTCAAACATCGGGGTGACAAACATCAGGCTGACCAGGGGTATCCTAACAAACATCGGGCTGACCAGGGGAAGAGTTATCATTATTCAGGGTGACAAACATCGGGCTGACTAGTGACCAGGGATATCCTAACTAACATCGGGCTGACTCGAAAAATTGCACCGTATTGATAGGTAAATTTTTATTATGTATATATATTATTTGGTGAACTTTTTAAACTTCTTCATGTGTTAACTTTTTCATAGTTTGGATCTCCCTACTGAAAATCCTGACTCCGTCAGTGCCGGCTCAAAGGCCAAGCGACTGAAGCGGTCGCTTTAGACCCCCAAATCTTTTAGGCCCCTAATTATTAAAAGTAGGTCTTATGTGTTAATTTTTTTAAAAAAAATATTTAATAATTTAATCAAAAATATAAAATCTAAAGAACCGTTTGTTATGTAATTGAAAGCGACTATATATACATTTATGGTATATAATCCAAATTATTTTTATTCTCTTTTTCATTCTCATAAAAATACCTTGTATTTTAGGTTGTTTATTCTTTTTCCTTTTAAGCTATCTATTCTCATAAAAACAAGTGTTGAAGGGCATTGAATAAATCAAATTGCACATTTTCTTCATTCTTTCTCGAGTTGTTAGACATTGCAGCAAGCAAACTAACAATGAAATTTTGTTTTAATATCAAGTTACAACTTCTAGAGTCAATTTTATTATATTGTTCTAACTTGTTATTCTCTTTTCTTCTTTTTCTAATTTGAAATTTGTTATTATCTTTTAATATTTTACTTTGTAGGTCTATATTGCTTTTTATATGATTAATTATAAATATATCAACTAGAAAATATGAATCATGTAATTACTCAAAATTCATAAAAAGATAAAAGATTGAAACTTTAATGCAACCTCATAATGGAGCTCTTGATAAATTTTTAATCGACAAGAAAAAATAAATTAAAAAATAATGAGAGTGCTCTTTAGAATATGAACAAGTCACTAAGTTGATTGGAAGTGCATACGTGAAAGGAAATAATAAAATATATAAGAACTTTGCATCTAAAAATACTATAAAATATAAACTTTATATAATGTACGAAACTTTTGTAATAAAATATTAAGGCCTCTAAGTAATGTTTGGCTTTAGGCCACGCAGTGACTTGAGCCGCCACTGGACTCCGTCACCGAAGCTAGATGGCCCTTGAGTCAGTTTTTCCATGCATTTTTTGTTTGTTTTTCCAAAATTGGGAAAAAGTTCCAAACTGTTTTTTCAAACTGAAAAGTCAAACCAAACCGATTAAAAAACCCGATAAGGTTTGGTTTGATTTGGTTTGGTATTGAATAAAAAAAAAAACCGAACCAACCCGATATATAAATATATTATTTTTATATATACTTTTAAGACTCAATATAAAAAAAATTGAAAATATCTAGAAATATTTGGGATTCTCTTATGGAAGTAATATTTAATAGAATATGAAGCGCTCCATTTTTATTAACTTTCAATAATGTGTTGTATGATCACTTTCTTATCAAGTGTTATTGAAATGCGTCAATCTCTTTGTTTTTTCCATATTCATACAAGATCTGCTAGATTCTTATATCTTTTTCGAATTTGAAGTGGTATTTCGATAATTGAAAATTAAATAGAACATATATCATTATTTAGGTATCGTATTATTTTTTATGTTTAATTATTAAATTCGGTTAACTTTGAAAGTCTACATTAACGAAAATTTATTGTCACACGGCTAAAAAAGTACTATCATGTGTTACTAAGAAAATTCTCCCATAAGAATATTTTAATAGATCATATGTTTGTCAATTTTTCCAATTTTTATTAAACATATATTTACTTATAAAAATTTTAACAAAGTAAGATTGACATATTATTCATATAACAAACAAATCCGAAAAACCCGAGAAATCCGACAAAATCGAACCAATCCAAACCGATATAGTTGATTTGGTTTGGTTTTAATAAAAACCGAACCAACCTGATCCATGTACACCCCTACCAAACACCATTAGAAGGGGGGGAAACTATCCTAGAACGGTGTTTCGTTTTGAATATTTTCCAGAAAAACTGAAAATTCCCAGTTGGGGTTGAAGCCATGACAATTCAAATATTGACTGCAGCCAGTATCCTATGAAGTATGAACTCTCTAGTTGACTGGTTCTCTTCTTACCAATCCTGTTTTTCTTCCTTTCTTATTGTTTGTGATGTGAATTCTTTTTCGTATCATTTTAAATTTTTCTATTGTAAGTATTCTAGTTCTTCATTTGTTTTATTAATCGTGGAATCTCCCAAGAATCAAAAAGCAAAACTAAAAAGATTCTGCTTCTATCATCCGTACACATATATATTTGAAGAACAGAAAAGAAAAAAGGACCTAAACTATCCCTATCGTTTGCTAAACGGTTTATAAATACCCTCCGTCCATCTATCCGTTCAAAAAAATATTCGACGTTTATTCTATTAACAAAAATACCCCGCGACTAACGGCAAAATTGGTGGGTCTTTTATTTAATGACGTGGCACTTTTTTACTGAGCCACGTGGCAATCTTTAACTAAGAATCAAATATGGGTCTTATTTTTACCCATTTACCTGGTCCGACCCATTTACCCATTTTTCCGTGCTGGGCTTAGCAAAATTGCTGTTCATCAGTGTTCTAAAGAGGAAATCGTATCTATTGCTTTTCACTATTTGTTCCTAAAAGTTCAATTCCTTGCTCTCCATTCGATTTTGATTCTAAATTTTGTAATTCATTATCTAAGTTTGAATTATTGATTTGGAGCTTCAATTCGAAGAAGTAAGATTGAATTTAAGGCCACAATTGAAACCCGTCTGTGCCGAGTTCAACGGAGAAGCTAAGCTTCGTTTGAAATCTGAAAATTAGGGCTTCAAATTCGATTGGATGTTCATGATTCTAGTTGGAAACATCATTTTGAAGCCGAATCTGAAGGATTAGGATCGATTTGAGTGATTTTCTAGGGTTTTGAGTTGAAATTTTTCGAACGGCTTCTCGACGAAGAAGACGAATTGGGTTCCTTCGATTCTGTGGGCGATTGTTCAAATTGGTTTCTTGGGTTTGTTCGGATTGTTGAGACGAGCTTGTGGTTACATTTTGAGTTTGGATTGAAGCTGGGTTTGAGTTTTTGGTCGGACCAAGAATCAAGAAGCCATTTTTGTCAATACTGCCATTTTTTATGCTTATGCTATCTTTGTCTATGTGATTTTATTGCAAAAGTGAGAGAAAACATGAATAATGAGGAGGGTCTAACATTTTTGATATCTTCTTTGCTTTTTTTTTTTTAGACATATATTTCGTTGTTCATCCAAGAGACAAAAGGATACAGTATCACAATTTCTGAGATTGTTACAGGCAAATTTTGCAAAGAAAAGTATGTTCTTTGTGTGTTTGTGAATTGAAAAAGTAAAGAAAAACAGCGCAATTTTCTGGGAGATTGTTTACAGGCATAGTTGCAAAGAATAGTATGTTCTCTGTGTGTGTATGTATCTTCGCCCTTCAGCTGTGCTAGAGATGTATGTGATACGTTTCAATTTTCATTTACAGCAAGATTAACTCCATCATCGTATGTGTGTCCTGCCTAAAGACCAAAATCTTGTGTCCTTCACTGCTGTAGGAATTCTTGGCATGTTCATTTTCCAAAGATTGGGTTTATTATTGGAGAAGAGAAAGGGGGAGGTCACATGAGTGGGAATGGGTGTGAGATATCACCCATTTTTGTAAATGGGTCGGATAAGGTAAATGGGTTGAAATAATATCTATTTTTTTGGTTCCGGTCAAAGGTTGCCATGTGGCCCAGTTAAAAATTGCCACGTCATTAAACGAAAGACCCACCAATTCTGCCGTTAGTCGCGGGGGTATTTTTGTTAATAGAATTAACGTCGTGTGTTTTTTTGGACGGATAGATGGACGGAGGGTATTTATAAACCATTTAGCAAACGATAGGGATAGTTTTGGCCATTTTCCGTCTGGAGAATTACTATTTTCGCAAATGGAATAAGATATGATTTTGCACTTAATCATATTCTTATTAGTACTTTATCAAGTCAAAATTTTTGTTGCTTAAGCAATATAAAAGTACAAATTTCACATACCAAAAACAAAAAAAGAAGAGAAAAAACCTTGCATAATATGTTGAAGGGCTTTTTGACAAGTTCAACAGAAAAAGCACAATAGCTATCATACTTTTCTTTCCTAATAATGGTCCAAAGCTAGCTTTCAAGTTTCAATCAAGAGGAAGAAGGGGTCAAGGTTCAGCGTATTTGACCATTCAATCCTATTGTGACTATATTATTAGAAATGTTATTCTCTTTTTATTTAATTCCGCACATTTTCGAAAACTTAATCATAAGTCATAGCTAATAAAATAGTGAATCTCTTTCAGATTTTATTTTATATTCCGATTAATTGTCTCATTTGATCATTGGCATTTTTTTTCTTTTGTTTAAATAGTGTTGGGATGGTGGGTGTTTGACTCAAAAGTTGTTTCATACTTTTTAAGCAAATCAATCAATATAGATGAGGGGTAAATCATAGTCAACCTTAATTAATACTGGATCAAAGAACAGAATCATAAAGATAGAAGAGTCACTTGAAATGACACTTGGGAGG